CTCCCACTGGATCACTGCTTTCCAAGTTCATCAAGATGGCCAACTTTGCTCGCAAGCGCTCTGGTTTGAAGAACTTCAGCTGGGAGGTTGCCAAGCCCTCCCGCGTTCCCCTTGAAGAGCGACCTAGTTGGATGACCTATGATGATGCCTGGGTTGATGAAGTTCGCCGTGGTCTCATGGCCTGCAAGGTCTTCCTCTTCCTGCCCATCTTCTTTTTGTCTTACAACCAGATGACGGCAAACCTGACCACCCAGGCCAGTACCATGGAGCGACACGGTGTACCAAACGACATCATCCAGAACCTGAACCCTATTTCCATCGTCATCATGATTCCCATCATCGACCACCTTTTGTATCCTGGTCTCCGCAAACTCGGCTTCGCCTTCACCCCTATCAAGCGTATGACGACTGGTTTCCTAATTGCCTCTCTGTCCATGGTAGCCTCTGCTGTTATGCAATACTACATTTACGAAATGAGCCCCTGCGGCTGGCACGCAAACACAGAGGACTGCCCTCCCGCGCCCATCAACGTTTGGGCCCAGAGTCTGCCGTACATATTGATTGGTATAGCCGAAATTTTTGCCAACGTCACGTCGTACGAATATGCCTTCTCCAAGGCACCTGAGAACATGAAGTCTCTTGTCATGAGCATCAACTTGTTCATGAGCGCCGTGTCTGCCGCCATTGGCCAGGCCTTCGTTCCATTGTCTGGAGACCCTCTGCTGGTCTGGAACTACACGGTTATTGCAGTCATTGCCGTCATTGGTGGCATTGTCTTCTGGTTCTGCTTCCGCCATCTTGACTCCGAGGAAGACAAGTGGAATATGCTCAAGAAGTCTGAGTTTATTGGCAAGCAAGAACCCGGTGTTGGCAAGGCCCATGAAGCTGGGGAAGCTGCTTAAAGATGGTTCTGATCATGTGTTCCTTTTTTAAAGTTTTATGTGCCAAGGAGTGTTATGATACCAAGTAAATGTAGCAATATTGATATCCAATACACTGTATATTCACTCGACATGTCTTGAGCCCCCTTCCCTCTTCAGCGTGACTATTCACTGTCGTATATTTACCCACGCTTATAAGCCTGTCTATCCCATGTCCCCCTTTGTTTTTAGATAACAGTGGAAGTATTTTAGTGGAACAGCCACGAAGAGGCCTGAATACCGGGATTCATGGCGGCAAAAGAGATGCTAGCTATTACGGCGGCGAAACAAACGCGCTTCGATGTTGCGCTTTATACTCAGAGGAGATGCCTTTAATCTGAGACCAATTGATATTATATCAAACATTTCGAGTATTAATTGGATTTTCGCTTTTACCATCATCTCCCCTGTCGGTGGGAAACTTGAGTCTTTGTTGATTCGGAGGAGTGTGGTGGCAGACAAGTGGACCTTTGGGCCATTTGACGGAGTTGGGATAAGGACTCGCATCATTTCTCCCGGCTCTATGAGCCACAATAGCAAGATGACATGCAAGTCTGAATTCTGGGGTCACTTGAGTACCTTTTGGCCGCGAGTGCTACTTTTCCCGGTGGTTTCAACATATCTACACTAGTTGAAGCATCTTCTCAATACCTATTAATCTGAAAGATGTATGGAGTATGTAAATTGGTAATTTTGGTTTATTCGCGCGGATCTTAGATAACTAGGATGAATAGCGTAGAATAAAGACGACTGTCGATTACGCAATGTTGGCGATGGATACTAAATAGATAAGAAATGACCAAGACAAGATATCACAAGATGGGAAGCATGTCGTAAGAAGCGCAAGCTCGGATTGTAGTGAATGTTATTAGGCAAGACGCGAGGTGGCTAGTATATATCGGAGTTAAGCCTGTTCCTATTGTTGATTGCCCTAGTCACCATCGGCAATCTGTCAAATCTAGACCCAGAGTTAGTTTTAAGAACACGTGCTCCAATGCGGACTGCATTCTCATTAAAACTAAAAGGTCATTATGATAATGGTCCTATTAATACGGGCAGAAGGAATAGATCGTTGGAACCAGGAACAAAGGTAGTACTCGTCGATTTGTAGTTCCGACTTACCCTAGATTCAGCTTTTCATCAGGTGGGTAAGATGAGGAGGCCTTCCCGGTTTAGATAAGTCAACAACCTATGAAAGATCGGCAGTTGATGGCCCGGGAGGTATACAGGGCTAGCTTGGTCGTGTCTTGGAGCGACCGGATCGTTTGTGGGGGACCTTCTGGAGGACTAATGCATGGCGTCAAGGGCGGGTTTACATCAAGACCGCATAGCTAGCCCTCAGCTTCGGGGACGATGGAAATGTGTAAAAGCATTTAGGTAGTTATAGGTGAGAAGCACACTATTCTCTGCGGTTTGCAGTCTCGATACATAGCTGATAGACTTGGTGCCGCTCCTAATCGTAATATAGAACAATCAAAATTCAATTGGAAGTCTGGAAATAACTAGGCAGGGAATTCCATTGCCTCTTTGGACGTCATGGCGTTTACGGGGACAGAAGCTGGAGCTGGAGGGTTGTGTTCAAGTCAGCCCCATGGAAGCTTAACCTTTCACACTTGAAACTGATGCATGGTTGTCATCATGTCGTACGGACAATTCGGAGCATACCCAAGCGATGCATGCAACCCCAGGTTTCCCCCGCTCCATCGCTGTGCCGTTGTGTTGTGGCTCATCCAAGTCGGTTAATCGCTTCGTTGCATAGCCTGGTCCACCCGAGTGGCTCTGAAACCGTCTCGCGTTGATAACAAGATCCGGCCGCGGAAACCGAAAACCACTAACAAAGATTAGTATGCGCGGACTCCGAGGCCTCGCGACTATGACATTCGCAGCCGCTTATAAGAACGGAAAGGCGACAAGTAGCCAAGTCTTCCAGGCTACGGGGTTGGTTGTCGTTTCTTTGAATAGCCATTGCCCCTTTGACAAACTCGATGGTTTATGGCTTGAATTAGCTATCCGAGACTTTTTGCCAACTTGCGTATTTACTGCTCTCGATAGCCGCCCAGCAATCACATAAGGCGCTTCCCGGTACTGTCAGCAACCTCAACCATGGTCAAGGTCCTTCGAAACGGCCGATTTCTTCGTCCGTCTGGGCACAATCCGAAAGAGGCCGTCTTTGCAAACTGTCTCATCTTAGATGAGTCTTCAGGCAAGATTCTCTACGTCGGGTCAGATGACGGTGGCGAGGTGCAAAGCGCCGTGTCTTCCGGAGCAGAGATGCTCGACATGCAGAACCGACTAGTCGTCCCCGGCTTCATTGACAGCCACATGCACCTGCTGCATACTGGACAAACGTTGAACAAGCTGGATATAAGTGGTTGTGAGACCCTCGAAGAGATTCGCACCGCCATCCGCAACTACGCAAAAGATCACCCGGATATGGATCGAATCCTGTGCTGCAGCTGGTTCCAGACCTCTACCAACGGAGAAGCATTTGCAAGCCAGATCGATGATCTCGACCCTCGACCTATCTATATTTATGCATATGACATGCATTCCATGTGGTGTAACACGGCAGCACTGAGTGAATTGCAAGTCGCAGACCTAGAGGATCCCCCGGGCGGTAAGATTCATAGAGATGAGGCTGGCAAGCCCACAGGTCTGCTATCAGAAACCGCTGCGTTAAGCATTGCCGACCCGTTTCTGAGCGCGCAGCTTTCTTCAGAGCAAAAGCTGAACTTCATTCACGATGCTATTAAAGCGTACATTGCCAGCGGATACACTGGCCTCATCGACATGGCCATGGACGAGAAGACGTGGGACATCATCTTGAGTTACCGCAAGAAATGCGGCGGAAGTCTTCCCATTTGGATGGCCGTACATTGGTTTGTTCTGCCGCAAAAGACGCCGGAGGAGACTCTTGCACAGGTCGACGAGGCCATTACGCTGAACAAGCAGTACAACGAAAAGACTTCCCCTGACTGCCGCATCACCGGCATCAAGATCATGTGCGACGGCGTTGTAGACGCCTGCACCGCAAGTCTCATGGAGCCATATTCGCACAACGGCGGAAACGAACCGGCGGTATGGACCGTGGAGGAACTCGTGCCCATCCTAAAAAAGGCCGACGACGCTGGCTTGCAAATTGCTATCCATGCCATTGGCGATGCTGCCATCAGAGTAGCCATCGACTCTCTAGAACGAGTGGGAAACCCGCAAGGGCGACATCGCATTGAACATCTGGAAACATGCTCCCCCGAGGATGTCAAACGCCTGGGCAAGCTCGGAATCACCGCATCGGTCCAACCTGTGCATAGCGATCCGTCCATCCTCCAGGCGTGGCCGAAGCTGCTCGGCCCCAAAAGATGCGAGCACGTCTTCCCGTACAACGGCTTCGCTGAGCACGGGGCTACCGTTGCAATTGGCACCGACGCTCCTACAGCGTCACACCTCGTTCTTCCGAATCTGTATACTGCTACGACGCGGCGGTCCGGGCGAAAGCCGGAGCTGGAGGAGCAGACGGCCCCGAGATTTGCGCTGAGTCTTGCGGCTGCCATGGCTGCGGCAACTCAAGGCGCTGCGTATAGTTGCTTCGCTGATGACCGTGTCGGTAGGCTGGAACCCGGCAAGGCTGCGAATCTTGCTGTCGTAGATGTGGTTTGGGATCCCGCGAGGCTTTTAGAAGGCAAAGTCCAGGAGACGTGGTATCAGGGCCGCAAGATTTACGGGTAGCCCTGTTTCTCGTCTGGTTCGGATGTCTTGCGCCTGGAAGTACTATATATCAGGGAATACAACAGTGGACAAAATGATTGCGACTGTCCAAACACATCGTCGAGTGACCATGTCTCCAGCACTATTCCCTTCACTCCTCGGTTGATTGTTCGTTTGATTTGCATTCACGCCAGTCACGGCTGGAGAGTCTGTTCCGGCTTTCAGGTCAACAATGTTGGAACTGGTTGATCCGACATTGGCCTGTGCGATTCCGACTTACTTGTTGGTTGGGTCGTACACGACACAGGCACTCCTGAGAACATTGCTTTCCACAATGCCGAAACGGTTGCCTGTGCTATTGTTGGCTGACGTGCCTTAAAGGCCAAAGATACAAGGGGGTTCCAACTTGAGGCCCAGAAGCTTAAGCAGCCCCAGGTTGCCAGTGTTGACAACAAGTTCTCTCAGCGGCACATTGTTCATCTTATTGGGAAACGCCACATCAACGGTGATATTTCGCCCTTCATATTCTGCGTACTTGCAGTCAATCAAAGCTCTCTTCTGCGCAATCTCGACGCCAAGACTATCCCAGACGGGCTTGACATATTCATCCAGCAGGAAGGTCAAATCTGTGCCAGAGTCCAGAACAGTAGTGACGTTGATATCCCACCTCCCTCAAGTACTGTACCTTGGCCGTTGGCTTTGTCCAGCGCCAAGCCAGACGTGTGCACAGCATATGCTACAACTCCAGCACCAGGCTTGAAAGCCCGGGACCAGTGGTAGCGTGGCGAGGTTTCCCACATACTTCTCGATGCCGCCAAAGAGGAGTATTCCCGTCACATTGGAGCTACTCGAGCTCCTATTCTGCAGTGGCGTGTAAGTCTGGGTAGCAACTTTGGAGTTGAATATATGATTTCTTTACCAGAAATAGACTGAAGGCAGCTCTTTCAATGTGTCCCTCCGTCACTGGATTATCCACCACAGTGTGATACTTCTTGGCGGTTGCTAAGACTTCACTGAAACCCAAGCCGAGCAACCCTGAACCTGGTATCTGGCTTCTGACCAGCCCGAGCCTTTGGTTCCTGATAGACCTTCAATCTATAGTAACTGTGTCGTTGGCAAAGCCGCCACGAACATTTCTCTGATCAAGATACGAAATCTCCTATGCCCACAACCTTGAGACATGTGCCCGGAAGCACTGTGGAAAAGATCACCCTTGCCCTCTGGATATTTGCCGGGTCGGGGACTATTCATGCACTCGTGACTTGGAAGACGGAGTCGGAAGCAGATGCGGTCAGTGATTTGCAGTTTCTTTTGCCCAATTTTCTGGGAGGTCTGGCCGAGATGGCTATGAGACAAACAAATTTGGTTGGTGGTGGGCGGCAGTCTGTTAGTGTTTTGAGTCGCTTGATGGGGTTATTTGCATATTGACCTTTTTCTACTGCATCGTACCGCCGTACTAGTTCCCTATTCTGGACAAGGCCGCCGTCAGGAGGATGTCTATCAAGATGAAGATGAATGTCGGCAAGAGGGCGTAGAACAGACGTGAAATTATGAGCGACGCATATGCATTTATTGTCTAGTCAAGGGAACCGTCAGCACTGGGCATACCAGACGCTTGTCAGTCGTTTCCGGGAGGTTGGCGCTCAACTCAACACCATCTCCAACTGATACTGCGTGAGTTCTGTCTTCTGAAAGCCCAGCTTCTTGGCCAGTCCTTGCCCATACTCCTTGGGGAAGATGGGCGGTGCCATCCACTTCTTCTCCGGGAACCGTCCCATCATGGCCTTCGCAAGCCTCGTTGCCTCGCCTTTCCTCCGAGATTGCGGCGCAACAATTAAACATGCCACTTTAACCGTATCCTTCTCTTTGTCCTCTGGATCAGTCACTACACAATACGCATCGCCCAATCGAAAGGCCCTATTAGTTTCAGGAGTTTTGTCAAACCCCCACGCCTGCCAGGGTAAATCTCCTGCCGCATAAGTCTTGACCAGCTCATCAACCTCCTCAAATGAACATGGCTTCGGTTTCGAATCTGCTGGGAATTCTCCTTGGCGGGGAGTATATTGCCACCCCAGTAGCTCTCTGGTGATGATGCATCCGGCATTAGTGTACATCTTGACGGCCGGCGCGTTCTGCTGTATACATTCAAACCCTACGGTGGACATGCCGCGAGCCTTTTCAGCGTCAAAAACCATCTTCAGGGCTTTTGGTCCCACGCCCTTGCCCCTAGAGGCCTTGACTATGCCCATGGCGCCGAGACGGGTCTCTGTGGGTTTGTCTGGGCGGATGGCGATGAGGGCGAAGCCGATGGGTTCGTTGGGATTGTCTGAACTGTAGAAAGCATGGCTGTGAGCCTTGGAGAGATAATTCAGAGTTATGTAGTTGGACATTGACTCGGCGGTGAAGTTGACCAAGGTTCCGATGTAATCTTCGAACGACTTGTTGAAGAGGTCGGCTATTTGACTGTCTGATAATTCTGATATGGGTCTGGACTCCATCGCGACGTGTTCTTTCTGCATCTTGTGCGAGTTTCTTCTAGATATCGATGTATATGATGCAAAACAAGGGAGCCCGAAGAGCTTCAAGATGCTCGCCGGAGGGCGCAACTATTGCATGATCTGTCTTTCGCGGCCGGACCGGGTACCACGACCGGGTGGAGCTCCGTGGGTAATGAGTTGGTCAAGGCCGTTTGGTTTCAGCATTTGGCTAAATGGAGCGAAATTTGCCACTCTTCGTCATAGCCGCCCCCAAAGTATGGTATCCGATCGTGAGCTTAGCTCGTCCACCAAACGAACTTGTGCCGCCCCGAATGTCCCAACTCCCAAATCTACGAGAGTGAGCAATGCTCTAAAAGTCCAAGAGCTACACATCAGTACCTCAACGACCGATGTGATGCTGTTTTAACGCAATATCTTTGCCGCAGATTTGGCCGACGACCAAGTTTGGCCAAGTGATAGCCATAGCAAGCCAATTGTGGGAGCGCAGCGACTCATGTCTGTTCCTCTGGCGTACAAATGCTCTTATCGGCTCAATCACAACATGGCTCACTTCTTCCTTCAGAGGCGTTTCCGTTGTGTCGCCAAAGCTGATAATGGCCGTAGGAACTTTGGGACACTCGATTCTGGACCATTCATGGGTGTTGACTTGCATCTCTCGCGCATACTGACGTTCGGATTTCAGGAGGGAGTCACTAGTACCAAGCTGGTCTCAAGATCAAATTTCATTGTCGGTCAGCAGGCCAAACACGTAGAGCACAGTTGGTCAGCGGTGAAGGGTCTGGGACCAAAAAGCTGTCAATGTTCAGGGTTGCGGGCAGTCAGGAGTCTGGTATTGGCGTGATAGCTCCGAAGCTGGATCGGGATGCTCCTTCACAAATTGCTGCAGTCCTGGCAGGCCCCTCGGTTGCGAAGAGCCCTCCGGCTCCAGCTCGGTTCGGTACGCAATTGGCCCGGCATAAATTTTTACGGTGGCTCTGCCCGCGGTTATTCCTCCTGGCCACAGAGTACGGAGTAGAGTTTTGGTACTTTCATTTATGACCATCCGCACGTAAATTCTAGGTACCAGCACTGTGTTATCGCTGCGCTTTGGTTGGGCATCGGCCCCCGAAATTGTCGACGGTAGCTCTAGGAGCTCTTCGGCAGTCAAGGAGCACAATAATTCGGCAAGCACCCAAGCACCCGAGCTCCCTCCAAAGCTCCACAGTTCCCCGGCATGGATCTTCTCATCTGGAATGCGCATGCAGCCCCTCTGGCCCGGAACACTTCCGCCTTTCCGACAAGCAGCGGAACATCCTCTGATTGGCCGATACCCCCGGCTCAAGGCTAGAAACGGATGTCGCTGGTGAAGCTCTGCCGTCAAGTCAAAGCCGGCGACGCGGGGTTCCCAAATGCATAAGGCCCTGCAGGCACAAGGCGAAAACATAAGTGAGGTTGAAATGAAAAAAAAAGAAAAAAAGATAAATAAAACTAATCAATCAATCAATCCATCCTGGAAAAAAGGTATCAACGCAGTAGCGAAAATCAACCAAAATGTCCGACTACACTCTCTACGCCTACTTTCGCTCCTCATGCTCCGCCCGCCTCCGCATCATCCTCAACCTCAAAAACATATCCTACGACCTCATCCCCGTGAATCTCCTCAAAGACGAACAACTGTCTGCCGAGCACAAGGCTCTCAACCCATCTGCCTCGGTGCCCCTCCTCGTCTCCAAGCGCTCTCCCGACGCAGGCTTTAAAATTGGCCAGTCCGTAGCTGCCCTCGAATATCTCGAGGAAGTACACCCTGAGGTGCCGGCCTTGCCGCCAACGAGCGATGCCAAAGGACGTGCCACTGTCCGGGTTCTATGTGAAATCATCGCCGCGGACACGCAGCCCGTGACCAACCTGAGAATCATGCGAAGAGTGAGAGCACTCGGCGGCAGCGCAGAGGAGTGGAATAAGGAATTGATGGGCGATGGTCTGAGGGCGTACGAGGCCGTGGCCAAGGACTCGGCCGGCAAGTACTCCGTGGGTGATAATGTCACCATGGCGGATGCCTGTCTGATGCCTGCTCTTTGGAATGCGCAGCGCTTCGGGGTGGATTTGTCGCAGTTTCCAACCGTCTCTAGAATATTTGCCAATTTGAGTGAGCATCCGGCCGTGCAAAAGGCCGATTACTTCAAACAGCCTGATTGTCCGGAGGACTTGCGCAGGAAGTAGCATGTGGGAAACGGCATAACAATATGAACTGCATCATGCAAAATTACGAATCAATGCGGTTCTTGGCAATTCTGGGTTGTATTTTTTTTTCTGGGAGCAGCTGTAGCTAAGATTTCACATTTCCCATAGCATCATTGGAAACATATTAAAACAGAGGCTGCGCTGGCAGGATGGTACCAGACACCTCACCGAATCCAATCAAAGCGCCTTGCTCACCAGCCCATCCCCGAATAGTCACCGTGTCTCCGTCCTCGAAAAACTTGCGCTCCTCTCCACCCTGCAGCTTGACAGCAACCTTGCCGCCCTGGGTTTGCTCCAGAATACTGCCCTCACTGCCGGGCTTGTCTCCCGTGATGGTTCCTGAACCCAACAGGTCACCAGGTCGTAAGTTGCAGCCGGTAATCGTGTGGTGGGCAATCATCTGCGGCCAGGACCACAAAAGGTTCTTGGAGTTGGACCTGGAGATGGTGGTCTTGTTGCCCTTGGCAGCTGCGACGGGTTAGTACGGGAGTAGAATGTGAGAGACGGATTGCAAGTCTAGATTCACTTACTAGTCACGTCAACCTCCAAGTGAATATTGAGGCAGTTGTCCTTCTTCTTCTCCTGTAGGTAAGGCAAAAGAGTGTTATCGTTGGGGATACCGGCAGTCCTTGAGTTATTTAGAGCGTCCGCCAAAACCACCCAGGCGCTGATTGCTGTGCCCATGTTCTTTGCAGTGAAAGGGCCGAGAGGAATGTACTCCCAGGCCTGGATGTCTCTGGCACTCCAGTCGTTCATCAAGACGTAGCCGAAAATGTAGTTCTCGGCCTCGTCAACAGGGATAGGGCTGCCAAGCTTGTTTTCGCGACAGATGAACATGCCCATCTCGAGCTCCAGATCCAGTCGCTGACAGGGTGACAGGGTGGGGATTTTGGGCTCGGCCTTGGGATCCTTGAGAATCTGTCCCCAAGGACGATGGAGAGGGGTGCCGGAAACCACGACGCTGCTGGCGCGGCCGTGGTAAGCAACAGGAAGATGAGTATAGTTGGGCTGCAGAGCATTGTCCGGGCCACGGAACAAAACGCCAACGTTGTATGCGTGGTTCTTGCCGGCGTAGAAATCAG